TTTGTGATTTCAAATGTTCCTTTTTCAATAGTGTGGAGTGAAGGCACAAAGCCTCATATTTTATATATTTGATATCTGTGTTTTAAGTATCGAAGTGTACTTGAATAATCGATATCCAATGTCGACAGGTATTAAGAAAATTGTTCTAGCCGCATCAATAGCTTTGTCGATATTTCTAGTTTAAAATAAAAATAGGAAACAGCGCAGTATACTAATACGCAAGAAAAATCGTACCTTTTTTATCAAAAATGAATGATATTCCACCTATAACAATTGGGAATTGGGGTAAAAGTTCAGTGCAAACGACATTATCAGTTCCTTAAATCATGGAATCTATAGCAATGTACAACGTTCTTCGAACTTCAGAACTCTTTTATCGGCGACGCCAACCTCGAATGCCTTTCGTACCCAAACTTGGTCCACTTTTTACGTTCATGTTTATGATTTAAATCATTTGAAAGTAAGGCAAATAGCGTGACCGTGAGTAGCGAGCACTGGGTACGTAATGAAACTGCAGAATTTTTTTAACGAAATTATTTTAATCATCACAATTATACAGACCAACTCGTTTGTAATCTTCACTGTCAACTTAAGCCTAACTTACAAATAATTAAATCTAAATGGAAACGTTGAGCGCACGCGGCTCATGCCGGGCTCCTATATTTTAAAACGCTTCGTTTTCTTTTACGAGCCGTTTTTCAGGAAAAGAAGTGCATGAAAACCTTTTTTGAAAACAAAATACCAGTTCAGCTATGTATAGACCGTTTAATTTTTTTTTCATTTTAAGTTATCCTACTTTGCTGCAATTTTGCTTTTTGTAATATAAACAACTTTTACATGCACACCGTATGTGATAAAACGGAGAAGGAAACGTTTCTTCAATATAGAAATCGGGCAAAGTGCGTACGCGTCCTCCTCGCCTCACTGCAAACAAAAACATTCAATTAATAAATACTAACAGTGCTCTGTGGTGGTGCATTAGCCAAAAACCCATTAATTCATTTGTATATTATATTATATGAATATTATGCATTGGGATAGATGTCAATATTTTGTAATAAATAATTTAGAACGCGATATGGTAGTTCTCTAGTGAACATCTATCATAGCTTCATTATTAGTTATCGGCGTAGGTAGTGCCATTTTGGGTCAATGAATCTGAATGATAATGTTAATAAGGACATGCCCCGGGATTTCCAGGAATATTTTTCAGAATTTTGATGTATTAAGTGAAGTTCAACTGTATGTACGCACAACGACAAATCAAACTATTCTTTTCCGGTATAAGCTGTATATAATAATAAAGAAAAATCATGGATCAAGTGGAAAAAATCTTCTAACCAAGTAGATTATGGGGTACTCTGTACTTCGAAAAAGATTTAAACAACTTTCCGCGCAGTGCTTTAATTCATATTTAAGTAAAATTGAAACAAGTTTGCAGAAAAACATCAAAGTATTTTAGTCTTTTGTAAAAAATAAAAAAATGTGGTATTCCCAACGTAATGTCTCACGATGGAAATGAAATCGATAATCCTGAGGACATATGTAAATTTTTTTCTAACTATTTTACTTCAGTTTATGAGAACAGCTCACTGATGACCTACGACATAGATTCACTTCCTTCCTCATCAAACACTAACTTTATTATCTCAGATATATCATTTTCAAAAAACACAATAGAACAATGTCTAAAAAACTTAGATATAACTAAGGGTTCAGGACCAGACGGTATCCCACCTTTTTTCCTGAAACATACTGCTAGCTCAATAAGCGTACCTCTGTTCTATTTGTATAACCGCAGTTTGCGTGAAGGTTTAGTGCCCACAGTCTGGAAATCTGCGAATATAACCCCAGTGTTTAAAAACGGTTCTAAAACTGACGTGACTAATTATAGACCTATGCGTGAAGGTTTAGTGCCCACAGTCTGGAAATCTGCGAATATAACCCCAGTGTTTAAAAACGGTTCTAAAACTGACGTGACTAATTATAGACCTATTTCCTTACTTTCTGCCTTATCAAAAGTCCTTGAACGCTTAGTACATAATTCAATTTATCCGAGTTTACACAACTTACTAATTCCAGAACAACATGGTTTCGTAAAACACCGATCGACCATCAGTAATCTTATTTTATACACAAACTTTCTGTTTGATAATATGGACAATCGAATACAAACTGATACCGTTTACACAGACTTTTGTTAAGCTTTTGATAAAGTGGATCATTCCATCCTTCTTCAAAAACTTGCGTTCAATGGTAAACGTGGAAACTTATTGCGGAGGTTCTCTTCATACATTATTAAATAGGACCCAAAAAGTTGTGATCAATGGATTCTCCTCTAACGAAAAATTAGTATCCTCAGGTGTACCACAGGGATCTATAACTAGGTCCGATGCTCTTCACATTGTATATAAATGATATTCAGTCTTGTTTTATAAATAGTAATTTTTTATTGTATGCAGATGACCTGAAAGTTTATCGAAGTGTAAAGTCCCTTAATGATTGTGAGAAGCTACAGGAAGATCTTGACCGGTTATCTAACTACTGTCTAATTAATAAACTGCAATTAAGCATCCCTAAATGTAAATCTATTTCTTTCACCAAAAACGTAAAAACCTACAATTACATATATTCCCTTCTTAACAGTCCCTTAGGAAAAGTATCATTAATAAAAGATTTAGGCATCCTTTACGATTCAAATCTAACCTTTAATGTTCATATCAGCCATGTAACAAATAAAGCGTATCAAATGTACTAAAATTGTTGCACGAACGTGTAATTTTTTTAAAAGCTCCTCATCTTATTTACTACTTTTCAAATCACTTATCAGACCACAAATTGAATATGCAACGCAAGTATGGAACCCCTATTATAATATCGGTGAACTTCTAGAATCATTACAAGCAAAGTTTCTTCGTTTTATAAATTATAAATGTTACCACGCTAAATCATCGTATCGTAACTTATTAAAAAAGTTTTCAATTCATACTTTAAAAGCAAGAAGAATATACTTTGATCTGATACTATTATTCAAAATAATTCGAAATTGGTTGGAAGATTGTAGTGAACTACTTAACAAAATATATATCCGTGTCCCTAGTCGTTCTCAACGCATTAGAGACGTGTATACACATAAATTGTTTGCGCCTAAACTATGTAAAACCAATGCAGGTGAACGCGCCCCATTAAGACGTATTATGAAAGTATATAACATGCATTTTTCAAATATTGATCTATTCACTTCATCACAGTTACAATTTCGCAAGAACATTCTAAGAAAGTTGGTAGATATTCAATAGTATCTTTAAATATTTTACAAGATAAATTTGTACTGTAGCAATTTTTTTTAATTATTTTTTTTTCCTTTTTGTCTCATTTTGATTTTTATGTTACTGAGTACTGTCAATTTTATTATATTTTCCCTTTTTCACTTATACTCTGTTTATTGTGCATTTATTATTTACTGTTACCAATTTAATATTACTTTGTGGATAACGGCGCTGGTTACATAATGACTAATATTATTTATAAAATGTTATTTGGCTTAAGCATTATTATGTAATTGTTTGTTGTCCTGAATAAATTAAAAAAAGCTGATCCCACGCGGTGCTGTTTGCCATATTTTTGGTCGATAGGCGGAATCTGACTTTACTGGAATTAGGTAGCTTAATATGTCGTCGTGTGTGCAAATATAGTAACTTCAATTGCTTGTCAATGTGAAATAAATTCGTATATTACAAATCGTTAGAAATCACCTTGTCTGTAGTTTGTTCTGTAGTATAAAAGTTGAGAAACTGAATCGTCTTATTATACCTCAATAATTTGTGAAATATAAAGATAATTAAATAATAGAGGCGAAAACAAAACAAATATTCAGATATTGGAAATCAACAACATTTGTTCATAGAAACACAAGTGGTAAAATAAAAAAAATTGTACAACTCACTTCAATATAAATAAAATGAGAACATCATCAATGTGGTAAAAGTCAATTAAATACGCATTACTAAGAATAATTCAAAAACAACTGGTCAGATCTTGATCAAATTTATATGGAACCACGTGAGAAGCACCAGCTTTAAAAAAAAAAGAATCGTCAAAATCGGTTCACCTTAAAAAATAGTTCTGATATATCATACAAAAAAAAACAGTCGAGTTGAGAACCTCCACACATACACACACACCTTTTTTTTTTTTTTTTTTTTTTTTTATATATATATCCGTGTTTAGATAATGCATATCCATGTTTAGATAATGGTACTTACCTCTGGGAATAGCGCTACCTACGCCGCTCACTATTACATATACTAGTTTATGTATTTATCACGCAAATGGTGTTTTAATAAATGGTCCTTCGGGCGGGTACTGAAACGAATACGATCTTGAAGCTGGTAAATTCTGAACAAGGACAGTGGCACCACTTTGTAGTGCATGATGTCAGCAGATTGACTCTCGGTTAACTCTCGGTACACCACATCTACATTTTGATTCTTCAAAATGTAGATGTGGTGTCACCGCTGAGGACTAAGATAAGAATCTCCGGTTCTTCATACCCCTCATACGAAATACAGCAACTGCTGTTATTTTGAAACATCGTGATCTTTCACTGGTCGTACCCACCCATTAGTGCTACAAGCATAATATAGCTGCAGCAAAGTCCTAACACATAGAAAATAATGGTATTATAACCATTTAACCGTTTACGTACTTAAAACGGCGACGGGGAGTAGTGAAGACGAGTGAGACTGGAACTACAAACTCACCAACAAAAAAGTGGGAATTTTGGTAAATTCTCCTAACAGTAGAGTACCCACATCCAGCAGTGGGCTGCTACTGGATGATGATGATGAAGAAGAAGACGACGAAATATTAAGTAAATTAATCTTTGAAGGGTGTTGCACAGAGTAGCGGCGCCTGCCGCGCGCATTTACCCCACCGTCGCCTCTGGAACTGAAGTACTCTGTGCTCACTCACCGTGCAGTGTTCAGTACAGTTCAGCGCTAGGCGGACAGGGCGCCGTGCTCGAACAGGTCCTGGTCATAGAGAGCGGCTCGCACCGTGCGCCCGCCGAAGTACCGCCCGTCCAGCGCGCTCACCGCCGCCGTCGCCTCTGCAACCGAACTACTCTGTGAGCTCCACGTGTTCAATGCCGCGCAAACAGTTTTTAAAGAGAAGGTTGACAAGCGACCACTTGATGGTAAGCGGATGCAGTGGCCCATAAACTTCTACATTTTACCTCGATTAAGAATCAAAATGCAGATGTGTATTCACCTCTGAAGGACTAAGATGGAATGCTTCCAGGAAAAAGGGTCCCCGGTTCTCTACACTCACCATACGAACCACAGCAACATCAGCTGTTATTTCACGCTGGTATTGTGTGAAAGCGTGGATGGACCTTCCCCGGTCGAGCCAATATATAGCTATCCGTGCTACAACCATTAAAAAATAGCAGCAACATGACTATACCAAGTGTAGGCTGTCCACACAAGCACCACCACCACCACCACCACCATCACCGAGAAAACTACACACTATCGCGGTTGCAGTAACAGTCTCAATTTGGAAAAGTCGTCCGTTATATCGACATCGCTACCGACTAAACTTAGCTTTTGAAGGCCATAGAAAGCTAGTATAGTTACAGGTTATTTTTGGAATTGGTAGGCATTCCTCGGAGGTGGTAGCAGCACATCCACGATCTTCTTTGTTTGCCGTTGATAGCAGATCTCCGTGAGCTACCATCAGGTGGACTGTAAGTTCTTTTGTCACTTTAGTTCCATTTGAAAAAACCAGTTGAAGTCCGCTTTCTCTCACATCCGCGGCCCTGACAGCGCCAGCCACACCTCATCGAGTACATTACATTACGCGGAGGTCAAGAATAATGAACGAGAACAAAAAACGCAGTAACAACCTTCTCTTTTGCTCCTCGTTTCCAATTCGTCAATCACGTTTGGATGTCACAGGCGGGAAGGAGAATAATGTAATACTGTGGGTAAAAAATAGTAAGACTTTGTTCATATTTTTAAAATTCTTTATTTATTCTGCCAAATCTATTTCGTCCCCCTCAAATTAATCCCACCCGGCCGCAATACACTTATGCCAACGTTTTTTTCTAATCTTCGTAACAGTTGTTAAAATCAATTTCCGGAATAGCCTTCAATGCGCGTAGCGATTCACGTTTAATGACTTCAATTGACTCAAAATGGTTTCCCCGGAGCGATCGCTTGAGTTTGCTGAACAGGCAGAAGTCGCACGGAGCTAAATCAGGCGAATACGGTGGTTGTGGAGCGATATTGATTGAATTTTTGGAGACTCACGAAGAATCAATGCAGTATGTGACGGTGCATATCGTGGTGCAAAAACTAAGAGTTGTCGGCCCATAATTCCGGCCTCTTTTTACGAATAGCTTCGCGCAAACGACGCGTAACACTCGAATAGTATTCCTTGTTGACAGTTTACGTACGGTACAACACACACTAACTGCCAAATAAAGTGTAAGAAAGCTTACACTTTATTTGGCAGTTAGTGTGTGTTGTGTCCCATAGACATCTACGTTTATCCTTGATTGTGTATTATAATGTTTTATGATTATTATTTTCTTGATTATGTATTTTTAATTATAATGTTGATGCATTCACATTTGAGGACTGTAATGGAATGCCTTATTTTCAGTAAGAAGGGTCTTCTGTTCTTTTCACTCAGTATACGGAACACAACAACATTAAGTTCGTCGTTAATACACTCCGGCGCTTCGTTGCCTTAGAATTTAACACCTCCTCGATAGAAATACAGGTGTCTCGGAATTTAACACCAGTCATATTGTTAATCAGCATTTGCATCGCCCCAATACACGTAAGTACCGTTCTCATATGATACAGTTTTCTATGTTATGACAGTATTACAATATTAATTAAATGTATTGTTTTTTATACTCAATGATCTTGTATTATAACGTGGATACCGAGTAGGTTGACGGCAACAAGCGGCGATTGTTGCAGACAGTCGGTTACAGTTTCATTACTCATTGAGACTCCGCTGTGCCTTGCAAGCATCTTGAGCTGATGGTCCCGTTTGCCATACATTTACTATCTTTGATAATCATTATATCCAGTTCAAAGCCTTTAAAATTCAATAAAATCAACTATGTAAGAGTATCAATGTATCCCATTAAATGGGCTGTGGAGGTCTGATGGAAGTTGCTCCATGTAAAATACTGATGACATCCAGTTGCACTAGCTTGTACTAGAAACCAACCCCAACATAGGAAAAAGCTAGGCTAGATATTAAGTTTCCTATTAGTAATCGTTACTTACTCTTTTTCAGATAATGCAATTTACGAAGCATTAGCCCGCGGCAACCATGGTGAACAACAAGCAGCTGTATCCTCTCACCAAGGCCATAGACAAGTGTGTGCTGTCTGCAGTCTATCCATATTAAGGCGATAAAATGATCTTATTCTGAAAGGAAGTGCCTCTGATTTGGATACAAATATAACCAATATCATTGCATTTAGGATTGCACCACGTCAGGTCGGTGCACTAGTAACCGTGAGAGGCTCTGTAATTCAGGACTCAATACTTCTTATTTATCAAGTTGAGTTTCAAACCAATATGTTTCTTTATATGAAGATTACATCAAGTGATCATGTTTGTTATCCACGTTGGCCGAGATGCAGAAGATCTGCACTTCGGACACACCAAATTTAAGATGCACGATCTGTTAATCCACGTGATAATTTTTTACAAGAACTAAACCTCACTGACCAAATGTGCAGCAACATGTAGAGACAACAAACAAAATGTAAAGATGCTGAGGAAGATAGAGCTGAAATCTCATTGATTCCTGTTCAACCAGTAGTAGAAATTGTTTTACGAAACTACAGACGGGCTGCAAATACTGCTTCTCATTGTTTTCTTTGGTTGTACTAATGTAGATTTGCGGATATTTTCTGATTCTTTGAGAACAACTGTCTTGAGTAATAATCATTTCCACATACCAGCACTGGCACGAGTTGTGGTAACTAACTGGTAGAGTCCATACGATTTACGAAACAGCATCAGTACTTTTACGGCCGAACCTCATCTGCCGTTCACAGTTCGTTCTCGGTCTCGGTCCGAATCGAAAATAATGGTAATTTACAAGTTAGTATGCAAAGTTTCACGATGTAATTTAAAGTATTTTATGAATACCAGCGGTTTATTGTTCAGTTTGGAGGTAACTTTAGATTTTTTTTCTATAGAGAAAATTTTACGAAATCGTGTTTTCGTCTAACATTGTACTTAACATTAATCCTTAACTTTACCACATATTTATTTTAAAATTAATGCTGCAATATTTTCAGCATAACAGAGGATCTTGCTAAGCCATTTGAGGTAGTATTTTTACTATTTCTTCTTTAAATAAACAAAAAACAAACACCGTTCTCGTTTGACAGACGCTCATACACTGGATTCTTTAAGGTTGGCAATTTCTAACTACAAACCTGATTTTGCTAATCTAGCGGATATATATTTACAAATAGATTTGTTTTATATGAATACATACATAAGTTTTTTGAATATTGTTCACTAAGAAAATATTTTGTAAAAATTTATTGTTTTATTTTATTGTAAATTGACTACTATAATCTAAATTCATTATTCATTTGAAATATTTGTGTTGAAAATAATTAAACAGCTTATGTGTTATATAAGAATTATAAAATAATAGAAGTATATGTAAAAAAAAGTGGCACTATAGACAAGAAATTTTACAATTTTATAAAGAAAACTTAAGTTTCATGGTCGAATTAGTCGTAATAATGAAAACTAAAACTTACTAAAGGATGTAGGTTGGTTTACCTGTAATCGTTTATACATATATTGTTCATAAGTGTGTAAAATATTTTGTAAGAAAATTATATTATGCATATCATTACGGCTTTTTATCGATCACAGAGAAACGGTGCAGCAGATGTCGTAAAGACAGGTAAAAAGGTAACTAAAAGAGCATTGTTCCCAGGCGAGGATTTTAATACAGCTGTTAATAAATTAATGTAGAGATGTGGAGAGTGAAGAGGCGCAGACAGAGCCGCGCGCGCGCTGCGAGGGACAAGTGCACTGAAGCTTACTTCTGACCCTTCCTTTTGTCAACACACACATATCTACACTTGTACGCCACCTACATACACAACCTTCACAAAACAACACTCCCTTAAACACAAACACTCTATACTATACTCCATCTCACTCTCTTCCAAACCAAATCCTATACATGTATATATTTATCTCATTCTATTGTCGCCTTTACATTTCGTTATGTTTCAAATGAGAACGAATCCAAATGAGTACTTTTTTATAGGGTATGGTGACAAACGAGCACACAGTCCACCTGATAATAAATGGTTGCTGCGGCCCGTAGAGGTCTACATCAATCCTCGATTACGAATCAAAATGCAGATGCGTTGTCACCCGTGAGGACTCTGATGGAATGCCTCGTTTTCTTTAAAAAGGGTCTCCGGTCTCTACACTCACTATACGAAACACAGCAACATTAAGCTACTATTTGACGTTGGTATTCCGTGAGAGCGTGGTCCTTCCCCGGTCGAGCCGACCCATTCGTGCTACAACTATATTACTGATATAATTGCAGCATGGCTCTAGCACGTATAAGAATTTTGAAAACCTTCTACACAACAACATAAATAAATGAAACAGGAAATGAACAACACAATCATCCTAACACACAAAATAATAAAAAACTGCACTGAACACCCCTACCAACCGAAACATCTACGCCAAATCACAGAATAAATAATACTACTACGTACAGAAGTTTCACTCTTTTGATGTTGACTGCTTGCCGACGTTTAATAGCATATACATAATTATTATTAATAAGATAAATTGCGCACGCAAGCTATTAGACCTTTATCGCTGCGCGCGAGTGTCGGCACGGCTGTTTTCCGTGGTTTCTTAGGGCTGTCAAGAATATATTAAAAATATATTAAAAACACATGTAAGCAGGTACTTACTAAGCTTATAATATATATTAATATATACTCATTTATCTACTATTTATGCACACTTCTATTTACAGATCTCCTTCACCAAGGCATAGAATAAATAATATGTAGTGCTACTTGTATGTTGCCAAGGTTTGCCTGAAAGAGATTACTGTTAAGCGATGAAGACACCTAATTGTACATAAATGTATATGTTATGTGCAATAAAGAGTATAAATAAATTAATTAATTAAACGTTGCGAAATGGTAAGTAAAATAGGTAAGGTAACCTATTCAGACTGATCGAATGAACATATTTCTGCTACTATGCGAATTCTGTGCCTAACGCATGCAACGTGCAAGGTTACTCGTCGCGAATTGCGATATAATAAATCGCTCGGAAAAAATAGGTAGGTAGTGTAAACAACAAATGAACCTGAAATACGATTCCTAAATGAAATGTAATTGTATTCTAATTAGTTAAAATATTGTAAACAAAGTTTTAATTTCAGTACTTTGTGATAACTTAAAATATTTTAATTACAAAAGATATGTAAGTTACTCATTTCAATTTACCTACGTAAATTTCTTAAGTTATCTACGTTGTCACATCTAAGAATTTATTTGTCAGATCTAAGAATTTATAATATCATAAATGAATCGATTATTGAAAGTGAAATGGCGGTATTTCATAAAGTTCAATGTTTTTTGACTATATCATGATATAGCTTGTAGTGTGTGTTTAGTGTAGGCTCATGTAGCTATATATATGATAGCCTAATAGACATTTAGAGTTAGTAATAAACCTACATTCAAGACCGCTAGACGTTTAATTTATTCCTCGAACCTCCCAACATTACAAGCTTGACCAAATCAATGAATAGAGATTGTTTGGCGATATTAACTACTAAACAGGACACTGCTATTTCTAGATGTTATTGTTAAATCGTAAAATATTCATTACACACCGCCAGCGGCGCTGATTGCGTGTATTTGATAAAAGCAGAATTTATGCCAAATGTTGGCATAAATTCTGCTGACATTTATATGATGCCAACATTTATATGATGGTATTATATAAATGTTGGCGTCTTTGCTGTGCGTTAGAGCCACTCCAGTCGCACCTCAACTTGAGTCTGACTACTGGAGGGCAAAGTTTTGGTTGTCATAGTTTTAATACAATAATAGCGCCATCTACTTACTGGTAAATAAACTAATAATAAGTACATAACTGGTCAAATTAAACACAATTCTATTAAATATGTGTACATACTTATTGGTGCCGCATCAAAAATTGTCAGACTGATATAGACCTGTGACCACTGTCTGCATGTCTTATCATAATTGTTAATGTTAGCAAAATTACTAACAAAACTGTGTACACAAAACTTTGATTAAAAGAGAAGGTTTTTAGTTAAATATGTTGTATAAATTTCAACTAAGTTTTGTAATAAAGTATTTAGGTATTACTTCTGTATTTAAATTATTACGTAATTCTTTTTTGCTATATTTTTTTAACAAAAAAATTAAATAAATGTACCTTTCATTATCCTTAGGTAACTTAAAGAATGATGTATCTGAATCCTTTTGTTTGTTTATTATGGATCCATGCACGCAACAATTATAGTAAGTTCGAAGTTTTGCCATTATAATTTATTAAATAGATAATAATAATAATAATAAATATTTATTCATTGACCAAAAGTAATAAAATATTTAAAAGTTAAACTAATACAAAAATAATATTTTTAGAAGGACAATGAAAGGGTTCTGACTCAGCATGTGTTGCATAGAATCTACAACGCTGTTATTCTGTCAGCACCCATATACCTACTTAGTGAGCTAAAGTATAACAGTACGCGTACATCACCGATTATATTACAAGTAGCTTTTAATGTTAAATTATTTATTTATTCATTCAGCCAGTACAAGAACTATATAATTAACCAGTACAAGTTATCATAATATTTCTATTAATAATTTGATAATTAATATACATGTACAAGAGATAAAACATAATATAAACAAAATATAAACAAAAACATGAAAAAAAATAATAGCATTAAAAGTAAGAGCTACAGTAGTGTTTTATTTATTCAGACTAATTATAATAATTATGCTAGAACAACGTAATGGTTATTAAAAAGAATACTGGTAGTAAATTTAAGTTACATAATTGCATATATTCAGCCCCTGGCGAATTTTTTTTATAGTTATGACATTTTCTGCGTACTTAATAAATACTCTTTGTATTTTCTCTTAAAACTGTTCTTATTTGTTATGACTCGTAATGGTGGTGGAAGATCATTCCAACATTTTGTGGCCATAAATTTGTAACTACCACGAAATGCTGATGTCCTATGTTGAGGTATGCAAAGTACTTTTGCACACTTTCGGATCGGAGATAGGTTATATACACAAATATTATTTTTATTTCAATTAAAAATTTGGAACTAAGCATTTTAGCCTACAATTAAATACTAAACACTAAACAAAAATTACAACAAGTGTTTACAAAAAACTATTTACGTAAACAGTGTTAATAGAACGCGCTAGCCCCGACTGCGTGTTACACCCTGGGTGAATCGCGATTTTAGGTAATTATTTCACGCAGGTAGGAAGAGTGACAGAGGCCTGGCCAAACATGGGGATGGATGACAAACATCCCCCTCCCCACTATGAAGTGCTCTATAAAGCAAATGTATGTTCAGCAGCATAGTGGGAGAAAATAAATAAACCAACACGACAACTGTTATAAATGTACACCGATAACATAAAAAATAAACACCACCGACAGTATCAAGTCATATAGACACAACAATAAAGTTATATTATTCCTATAAATAACTCAAATTAAAAAATTGATAAACCCCAAAACAAAATGAGGTGATGTACTCCAAACGAGGCCTGCAGGAAGTCTGCAGTACTGCAGACTTCCCGGAGCGTCGATTGTTCACATCAGCCATGAACACGTACAGGATCGCCCCAGTTACTACATCAGATTTGATAGACTACAAATCTTCGCTAAAGGTGCGTGATCTTTGTTGGTTGAAATAAATAAAATAAAATAAAAATTAGCAAATTAAAATCAGTTTTAGGCATAAGTCATGATTAAATCATATAATGTACTTAGGCCCTTGTATTGCTTAAAAAAGGGGGAAACCGGGGGAATTTTTTAAAAAAGGGAGTCAGGAGCAGGACGAGGCGTCGGATTTATGAAGAAGGAAGCAGCCTGCGACGCAGGAGCTGCTCACCGAGCCGGCGCAGCCCGTGTCGCGCTCGCACGGCCGGGAAGTAGTTACGCTCTAATTCAAAAGGAAACCATCACGATTATACTTGTGTATGTATGTATGTGTGCGTGAGCACGTGCGTACCGTCGAGCTCCACGAACTGCACGAAGATCTTCACGTGCGCGTGCGCCGGTTCTGTGTGTACATGTGTCTGTATGTATGTTTATGTGTCCGTGCGTACCGTTAGACTCCGCGAACTGCAAGAAGACCTAGACGTGCACGTGTGCCTGTTCTGTGTACATGTATATGTATGTATGTGTATGACTGCCGGCGTACCGTCGGGCTCCGCAAACTGCACGAATATCTTGACGTGTGCGTGCGCCGGGTCGTCGTCGTCGCTCTGCCGCTCGTTGTAGATCACTAGCCGCTCCACGCGCCCCCACTTCGAGCACTCCTCCTGCACACATACACGCTGTTAGCACGGACGCTCTGAACGTGATTTAAAAAAAATTTTACACTCAATCTGCAAGTTCTCTCGATTTATATCAAAGTTATACAAGAAATGCACAAAAAGCGCGATTATATTATATATAACATGTGTATAGGCAGCATGTACCTGTATCTCGTGATGCAGCGCCTCGTCCACCTCGTCAGCCGACACCATGTTGCGCAGCAGCACCGTGCGCGACACGCGCCGCCGCATCAGCCGCTGCAACATCAACCACACCGCACACTTACCCAAACGTGTTTGCTACTGATACCAGCTAACTTTTTTTACGTGGTAGAGCCATGCTGCAGTTATATTAATAGTACAGTTATAGCACGAATGGGTTCGGCACGACCGGGGAAGGACCACGCTCTCACAGAATACCAGCGTCAAATAGTAGCTTAATGCTGCTGTGTTTCGTATGGTGAGTGTAGAGAACCGGAGCTCGTTTTTACTGGAAACGAGGCATTTCATCTAAATCCGCACGGATAACAACGCAACTGTATTTTGATACGTAATCGAGGATAAATGTAAATGTCTATGGGCCACAGCAACCACTTACCATCAGGTGGACTGTGTACTCGTTTTTTATCCTATCCTATAAAAAAACTTTTCGACCTCAACATAATTAGAAATATATACTATACAGGAGAATATATTTATTTGTTTTATATTGGAATGTGTCGGAAGGCAGTTTTTGCCAAGGCAAGTCCGGCACGCGACGGTGCACGAGCGGCCGGCGGCGCGCCACCGACCTCGTGCGATCTAAAGGTGCGCTTACACGAGGGCAATAATTGCTCGGCGACACGAATGGACCGATCTGGAGCAATTAATGGAGCAATTTCAAAGCAATAGAGCAAATTGCGGCAATTATTTCGGCGATATTGCTTCTAATTGCTCCAGATATTTCATATCGCTCAATGTCGCAGATTGACGAATATCCAATGGGCTTGGAAATTCCTAGCAATTTTTGTATATATCTCATTCGCACTTGTTTGTTTTGCGGCTTGCCGTCTTGCTTCCGCGGGGAGCAAGACGGCAAGCCGCAAAATTATTTCAAATTTTATTTATTAAAAAGTAATTCAAAGTCTGTTCGTGACATTCTAGTAAAGTTTTTGAATAATATATCATCTAATTCTTTACACAATGAAAATTGCGGCCTCTTTGCCAAAAACGATCGCACCCAGATACGTCCATTCCTTTTCTTTCTTTTTTTTTGATTAATAATAAAAAAGCGCTACAAGCCGCCGCAGCAAGAACAATGTCGTCCATAGCGAGCGAATACTGAAATGCTCGTGTAGGACAGTATTGCCTAGTTGATGAAGTTGCGCCATATCGCTCAATATTGTATTGCGCAGTATTGATGCTTGTTGCCGTTGCCGTAAATTGCTTGAAGTAGTCGTGACGTCATAGTTGACGAGTATTGACTGGAATTGAGCAATTTTAGTTGCCCGTGTAAGCGCACCTTTAAAAATCAAACCGTCGACATACGACAGTTGCTCTCGATATGGCCAAAATACACTAACGTTGTCACTCACATCGCACCTATGTTAGGGCCATCCGTTTTTAATATACTTTATTAATAATTTACAGTCATACGTTTCAGTGTCCTTTTTCATACAAACTTCATTTTTGATAGTCTGAATGGTATGTTCTTTAGCTTAAAAGAGATTTGTACATTGACCTCATCAATTACATAGTCCTGCATTAACTCACCCAGAGGAGCCCGCGGCAGAATATCTGCAATATGTATACTTCTTCGGTGTACACACAACTTTGATATGGAACACTTGAAATCTTAAGATTCATCATCATATGCGATTTACATCGACAACTTCATGTTTTAGGGTCTTTTTAAGGGCAATATCGTAACGATTTGAACATATTATTTGCAGAAAATTACACCTTTAGAAAGATGAAGTCTTTGTTTAGTGCACTGAAACGTAAAATCATAGTTTTTAATGACAGTTTTTTTGACCGAAGACAATCCCTTAATAGCGTTTTACGAAAATATACGTCACTTATCTTTCAGGTCGAATACAACCAATATTAAAAGCTAAAATACTTTATTTTAAGCGTTATTATAACAGAATATACAGTCTTTTAGTGTCTAGTAATACTATAAAATCACCAAAAATGTTCACTACAATATCATTTTTTCCGTGTATTAGGATATAAACTTATCTATTTTAATTATTTTGTCAAAATACAGGTAATGTTAAATATCCAAAAAAAAAATAGCTCGTTTTGTTTAGTCAATTATTGTACCTATATGATTATTTTAACAATACTATAAATCCGTCCGATCCTGTACGCTCCGGGTCTTCCCAAAGATAGGACTTATCACTTTTTCCCGCCACCGCCCGCGTTCATGTTAATTCACACCGATAGCGTAAGCTAGTGTTGCCAAGTGTCCCGATTTGTGCGGGACGTCCCGATTCACCCTTGACAGGGATGATGCATGATGCTATTTTACAGGAGCGACCAAACCATGGCTGAGATTTGCCTCCAATGGGCACCACAGAGGAAGGAATAAAAAGTTCCATACCCTGAAGTACCACATCAGCAACAGAATCCGCAACAACGTTGGGATCGTCCGGCGAGAAGCAAACCCGCCTCCATGGGTAGGATCAAAGAAAGACCGCATCCCATCCCAATCGGCTGACCTATAGTGCCAAACACGGCGGCAGCCTGCAGAATGCAACCGCGATTTCAGCGTGAGCGGCACAACACTCCGGACCAGACAATGGTCCGAGGAGCCTAAAGGGGCGTCGACGGAAATATGATATCCGTCCGGGTGAGAGGTCAGCAGAAGGTCCAACAGGGAAGGTGCATGATCCTCCACATCTGGAATCCGCGTAGGCGAAGTAACCAGTTGTGTCAGACCATATGCCAAGGCAAAATCATGAACAGATCTCCCCGCATGATCGGTTAAACGTGAACCAAGCCATTCGGCGTGATTGGCGTTAAAGTCGCCGAGGATCACGATCTCTGCGGAGGGTGGTCGAAGAGTCGGTCTGTTTCGGCATTACCGCTATGGGACCTATAGAGGCACCCGTAGACGCGCGGATGGTCGTCGCTGTCTACGCGTAGCCAAAGGATGGACAGGTCCGAATCTTCAAGTCTGCCGAGGCGTCGAGAGCAGATGTCCTCTCTGACGTAAATGCAAACTCCAGCCGAGGCACAAAGGAGTGTTCCAGTTTGTACCCCGGGTAGGAGAGATACGAGACATCAGCCGGAGAGGACACCTGCGTCTCGGTCAGAAAGAGCAGAGCCGGCCTCGCCGTCTCGAGATGGTAGTGGACGGCGTTTAAGTTAGAGTGAAGTCCCCTGATATTGCAGAAATTCACGGACAGCGTGGCAGGGGTCGCCTTGGTCGTGTTGCTCCGTTTTCCCCGAGCAGTTGTAGTCTTGAGCGGAATTTTGCCCCCCCCCCCCCAGAATACGCGGGGCAGCCTGAGCACCCACGCTCAGAAGTGGAGAAACATGGTCGTGGATGCTCAGCGAGGGATTCTCCAGGGGTGCTGGTACCCTCCTGGGGTAGTCTATCATTATTTAATTCCGCTACCATGTTGATGGGGGGGGGGATTCTCGGCCTATCTGGTCGCGGCGGCAAACGTGACTTCCCGTGGCCCTCAAATCGCGCCGCGTAATTTGTCGCCCCGCATGTCGCTTCGCCGTTCGCGCCGCCGATCCCCGTGGCCAGGCCGTAAGGCTGATGAAATATTAAAAGAAAACAAACTGTATGCTCCAGTGTTACCGATTTATTTGACGAAAGCGCCAGTGTTATTATGCTATGTTCCTTCAGAATGAGCGACCGATAGAGTTTCCTTCACTGACGTTGACAAATAAACAGACTAGGTATACTCAAATTGAAAAAGAGTTGCTCGCGATGGTTTTTGCTGTCGAACGGTTTAGGCAGTACATATACGATAGGCCAGATATTACAGTTCACACTGATCATAAACCACTGGAAGCTTTATTAAAAAAACCGTTAAATTCAGTACCGATACGTTTATAGCGTATGTCAAAATCGCTCTGGAACAGCGTAATATTGAAGTACACTATGATGTTCTTTGTGTGCTTGACTGCTCGAGGTGGGCTGGGCGCAATGGTGTCTGGCACGAATCATATTGATACTTTTGGAACTAAAAGAATAAAACGATTTCCACATAATAACTTATAAGGTCGAAGCTAAGACATAGTGTACATAAGAATTAATATCCGATCTAAGTCTGGCATCGGAAGCTGTACAAATTATTGTATAATAATAGTGAATGTACAAATTATTTTATTCCGTTAGTAAATTGAAGATGCTTTTCTTTTTTCTCTATTGAGTAGACTAAGGAATGTCACAACGCCAAGTTAACAAAAGAAAAATATGTATTATATAAAATAGATTTCGTTCGATATACATTTATTCTTTTTCATAATGTAAAGATAATTTGTCTAAATAACAATTTCATTCAGTCAGGGATAAAACCCGGGTTGCTCGCGTTTACGGCGAGCACTTCGCTCATGAGCTACCATGGCTCATATCTTTTTTGTTTCTATTTTATAATAACGTTACCGCCACACTTATAATGTTTCCTAAGTATATTGTAGAGGCAGTTAACATAAGAACATACATTTCACAACGACAAACATCCAGACTCGGAACAGTTAATCGTAGGTTTACAAATTTTTGTTCCGTGCGGAAATCGAACCCGCGGCCCCGGAGCCGTCAAATATATCTTTTATAGGGATAAATAATTTAGTTATAAATTGCTTACTATTAAATAAACTTGGAAAATTATTAATGATTAATTTAAATAATATCTTTTCACAAAGTATCATTAGTTGTGTTGTGTTGCGCGAACTATTTTTTATTCTATAGATGCGCCTTCATCGTTTCCGTGTGTCCATATAAAATCGGGAATTTGGTTTTAAAATCGAGACCGTTTTCATAGCTACAAAACACAGATTTTTTGTAGACATTGTGGTCGCTATTAGTTATATTGGTTTTTTGACACAATTCGCAATGTGTTTTATAATTATTGTATAGAACTGATCAAATGAACAAATAATTTTTGGTCCAAATATCGATACAGACTGAACTTTCTGAATAATATAACTGTGAAAATAGTAATAAATCTTATGAACTCACAACTCATGCACTTCATAGAGCCCTTAAAAACGGCATAGTTCAAACGGTTTTAATATCTCACACCTCGATATCCTAG